TCGCTATCTTTGCGATGCGGTTGATCGTCATCGTACTCCTCTGGTTCGGACATATCCGAATATCCATTCTCTTCGAATACATCGTTTTCAATATCATTGTCTGGATCCAGTCCAACTTTTTTCCCCTTTTGCTGTTGATCACTTCCACTTTCCGAACTCAATTTAGCAACAGCCATTGCAGTTTTTTCCTTATCACGTTGTCGCACAATTGCTTCAACCGCAAGCCATTCACTCATTGTCGTCTCATAATAATGTCGACTGGTTTCATCAAGTTCCGAACGCTCTTCGGCCGTTGAACCAAACGAGTAATGGCCCAATAAAAATGGCCAGACTTCATTGCGAATTTTTTCATCAACACCACCAAAATAAACCAAACGATATACTTCGTCTGAATCGCTTATAACGCCGTTCACATTCAATGTATTCCATACATCTTTTGTTAGTCCGCTTTCGGCACCATCTGATAAATAGTGATGTGATTTATGGTTTAAATTACAAATTTGATAGATTAAACGAGATCAGACTTACTTTCTGGCGTTATTCGTCCATTTACTAATCCAGATAAATGAGTTCGTACGGTTGAAAGATGCCGACAATACGCTAACCACCCATAAAAGGCTCGTGATATAATTTGTTTGCGCATCGTTGTACAAACTAATGCAATACTTGCCGTTTGATTTGTGGTGACCTAGAAAGACAATTGAATGATTCATACGTCGTACAAATATGCAAATTAAAAAAAATCCAATGGATCACTTACAACTAATGGGCTGTCTGGTGCGTACACGTCTAATGACAGACTTTTATTGGAACCGTCACTACTTTCATTCGTAGACGAACTACTGAGATGTGATCGTCTTGGGCTTGTACGACCCAAATCTAAAATTGATGCGCTTGTAACTGATTGCAATTTACTGCGAAGATGATTCACTTGAAATTTGGATAAAAATTCGCGAAATTCTTCATTGTTTGATTTGTTAACAATGCGAAAAACATAATCAATTGGAACATCTTCTTCCGATTCCGATTCCATAACAAGCGGTAATGGTTTGCGTTTGTTTTTCGAAGCCCATGGAAAGATTTTACCGATACCTTTGTGCGACCAAATTGGTGGATCGAGTTGACCATGTGGTAGTAGACCAGTTTCTAATGCACGAAGAAACGATGCCATATGTCCACCCTCTGGAAATATGATCGGCGAACGCTGTACACCATCATGCCCTACGAGAATTATGGTGCCACTTGTATCCTGGCCGCTTGATTGTTGATGGCAATGCACATAAACGATATCCTCAACATTTATAGTCATTGTTAATTCGTTAAAATAATCCCAATAAGAAGTTGCATCCGGATCATCTTTTTCAATGTAACCGTTCATTAACTGATTTGGTGTCCATTTAATTATCAATGAGTGTGGCCTTTGATGCAAACTCAAATAGCCCGGTAACGGTTCCGTTACATCTTTCTGCAAACCGAACAAATAAACAATTTCACTTAATTTTCATTCTCACATTTGTTTTATCGAATTTCTTTTAGATAAATAAGTGCATAAAATGTCCAAGTGGTAATAAAAAAAGGGTGAAAAATTTAATAGTGCTAATTATAATTACGGTCGATTTCTAACTTTTCTGTATTTTTCTCTTGTGGAAAGCCATTTCAATCAGACAAATAGAAATGCATGCATATAAGAAGTAAGAATGAAGGAGTTATTCACTTTATCATGTATACTACACACCGGAAGCACGAGCACATTGTTTTTTCCATAGAGTAGTGTGGCTCGATGATTTTGATGCAACGATTCAACAATATTCGATTTAAACGAACTGGTGCTTCCATCTTCTGAACTGTTTAAACTTCGTTTGAAATTGATAATTGGCCGTCGGCATGTTGGTGGTGTTGATGTTGGTGGTGTTGACTCAATACAATTCAGAGACCGTTTCTTGTATCAACAACAATAATAAATAGATAATGTTAAATATTTTAAGCAAATATTCAACCAAAAAAAAAACGATCTGCTGTGTATGTTTTTCTTTCTCTCTTTCCGTCTTCCAACACAAAAGAGCGTTCAAACTTGCGAAATTACACACTAGAACTAGAACATACACAAATTTTGAAAATTGTTGTTTAAAGTGTCACTTATTTCGTCATTGCGAGGCTGGTATAAATCCAATGAATTCTGATAGGTGGGACACAGTCTGTAGTGAGTAATTGTTGAGAAGAGACGATACCATTTTGTGAAAAACGTACTAACCATTTTCATTCAACTTCAAGTGTGATCGACTAAAAATGAAAAGTTCCGTGATTTGTTTGGTTGCTCTAACATTGTGTTGTGTGAGTACTAATGCAGCACCACAATCGACCTATCAACCGTTGCAACCATTTCAACCATTTCAACCATTTCAACCATTCATAAGTTTTTTTCAAAATTTTCCTCGTCCGCCATTTCTCAGACCGCAAGTTCAAGTGAGTCAACCATCTGTTGAATCCGTACCGGTCCAACCACCACCAGCTCAACATCCTCAACAATTAGTTCAAACACAATCACCACAAGTTGTTGAAGTTCCAACACGTCAAAACGGGTGGTTCTGGCAAAATTGGGCACCACTACCATTTTGGAATATTCCACAATATAGTCAAGATGGACCAACGATCATTATTGTCTCCAACAAACCACCGAAAATACCAGCTTCGGAAAATTCAAATTTGAATCAAACGGTTTCGCAAACTACGACAACTACAACGGAAAATACTGTCTCGACTACTATTTCGACTTCAGGTGAATGAGAATTGAATAAAATATTTGGTGAAGTGTAATTTAAAGTACATTTATTTATGCATAAATATTTATAGCTCCGACTACTGAAGCCCCAACTCAAGCAACTTCAACTGAAAATGCCACCAATATGCCAGAACTTGGTTTGACTGTTGTGAATCAGCCAGTACCTTTGGCTCCAATGGAATCACTCAAACCCAATGTAAAAACACAATGAGAGAGAAATCGTAGTTCCCAATTTAATTATCGTTCAAAACCAATTTTTCACACCTTTTCTACGTTGTACATAAATTAAATAAAAAGCAAACGAAATCACATTTAAATAAAAAATTTCTAAAGTGTTCTACTTTTGATTCACGGCAACCACAAAATTTGGCTCAAAAAAAATTCATAGCGTATAATGATAATGGTAGTAGTGACTTTATTTATAAATATTGTTGATTTTATGACTTCAATATACATAGTACGGATGTTGATTTGGATTCAATTCTTAAAGAATTATTGTTCATCCTGATATTTACATATTTTTTTTTTGGTTTTGCATATAAACTGTATGATTTAGCTACACATAGAAACACATAATAGAGTTAGCAACAACTGCTTTCTGCACACACGTGCTAAGTGATTTGACCTCCAATTTTTTGGCCTTGTTTAATGATGGGCCACGGACCCATATTAAATAAATAGGTTTTTTACTTACAAATCGTAAAGAATTGTAGAAGAAGACATAGAAAAGCGCTTTTTTACGATCATGTACGATATCAATTTCATATTCTTTCTTTCTATACCATGACGATTTTGATAGAGCATTCAAAATAAATTTTATATATTTTTCAACAAAAAATGCTATAGATATTTAAAAAAAATAATAGTCAATAGTCATTTATGGTGTATATATATAATCCATGTTCATTCGGAAGAATTTGTTTCTCTAAAAAAGTGTTTAACAATGCTTGTTGAAGCTTAAAATCCGGAAATTTTTCACAAATAAATTCAAATTCTAAATTCTTATAGATTTTACTAAATTCCACATAAAAATATTGGTTTTTATAATCATGATTGAAATGTTTCACACATTCGGGTGTAATGCTCATTAATTGATTTCACTAACATCGGCTGCGAATGAAAATGGGATTCATTGAAAACCGCCATTGGTAAGAATCTGTACAATTTGTGACATTTTTGGTGTTTCAAACAACATACTGTACGTCTTTTTGATGCATTGTCATGTTTCTTAAAATTGCAAAGAGTGAGTTCTTTATAAAATCCATTTTCAACGGGTTTTTCAATATTTCACATTTTCATCCATACTAAATGACATAAATTTCAGTGGCACTTTTGAATCTCGAAAAAGAAGACTTAATGAGATAAAAAACACTGAAAATAATAATAGATTTTTTTAATACATTTGAATAAAATTTCAATACATAGACGATAATTTTAAATTTGGAATGATTTTATTTTTTTTAATTAAATCATTTAAGGGCGTTTCATTCTCAACTAATTACTCTCAATACCTGAACCAGTTTTTATTTATCGTAAATAATTTTTGTTTGATATGAAATATTTTAATTAAAAAAAAATTTCATGTTAAAATTATTTTGTTCCGGAAATAAAAGTTTGTGAAATTTAACAGGAACAATTAGAAGAATATTGTGTTCGAAGAACTCTACTACTCTCGTTGTTGATTTCATTTTGACTTAATATTTATTATATGATGCAATAGTGATCAAATTTTAATAATTGGTATAAATGTTGATTGAAATTAAAAAAAAAAAAAAATTCTAATCAGTCAACGATGAGAATGTTCAAGAAAAATTCATAAAATGCAAAGTCTAAAGATGGAATCTATTTGGACACATTTTCTGGCATATACGTTTATTCTTGATTTTATTCAACAAATTCCGGTTCTATGCATGGGACATTTTGAATGTGTATATAAATCTGTGATTTGTTGAACGAACAACGGTTTTCTTTGTTGGTTTTGTATTTTGTCTGAAAAAAAATATTTATAAAAAATATACGTTTAGAAAAAATCGTCTCCTGTTACATTTAAATCTATTTTTCTTTTTAAATAGTGTGTGTTTTTTTCTCTAAATGAATTGATTTTGTTTGTCACTAGGTAAGTTATTTGTTGTGCTGCTATTGCCACGATAATCGAGATGTAAAATGTCTACCAGTGGTGTATTAATTATAAGCTCTAATAAATGATGGATGCTACATTTTAAAAATAATTTTCACACCCAGCAACGGAGCTTTTCTCATTCATTTATATATTTTCAATGATTGTTTGTAGTTGAAGTACAAGATTTCGAGCCAGCTTCAGTACCTCGTCCATCTTGTGATGTTCGGCCATTTCTGTAGATAA